ACCAGTCCATCCATCCATCCAATAACCATCCCAGTCAGCACCAGTGGGAATATGGCCCCTGTGCAATCCTAACACGCACATACATGCACACACACACACACACACACACACACAGATGCACACACGCCCTGCAGCTCTTTTTCTTCAAGTCGCTGATACAAAGGTTTTTGTAATAGCCACACTGATGGCTAATTTCACCTTCATACACTTAATGTGTGTGTGAGTGGAGTAATCACCTTGAGCCATGCAGGCAGTGGATTCCCCAAGAGATCAGCTAGGTTTGATTTGACATCCACACAAACACACCATTTTGTGCTGATATTTACATATAAACTACTGTAGCACCATAAGAACTGAGTGTCACCTTCACACGTGATTCAAGGTTATTGCAAAAATCACAAAAAGAAGTATAAATTTGTTTATTTTTAATGTATTGCAAAAGAGATTAAGCAAATCATTTTATATTGAAAGAAGAAATAAGAAATCCTCCATAAAGACCATTCACTACATTGTGCATATGATTTTGAAAATAAAATCAGATATACTAGTCTTGTATAATACACTAATTGTTAGCAAGGCTTTCACATGTATGCCTCTTTTGTAAGAGAGGGATCACAGACACACATGAGCTGCTGACATCAGCAGCTAATGCATCTGACAGACACAGCATTGCCAGGTCTTGCATCATCAGGTTTTAAAACATCATGCATATTACAGAACCTTACACCTCATTATCACTATAACCTGGTGATGAACTGTATTCTACTGGATTCTGTTTTCAGCCTTGATGCACCATTGACAACAACGACACCAAATGTCTCACAACATAGATGGGAACCGTGTTATTTGGGGTGACTTTCTGTACTTGGGCAATATTTGTTTTGCTTCCTAGATCAAAAGCTGCCTGTGTTCATTTATCCATCTATCCCTCCCCTCCCAGTCTCCATCTAGACAAAGAGAAAAAAATGTAAACCGGCTCCCTTGTTACCCTGACAATTGGTATCTCAACCAATAAAGCATGTCTAATTGCATTGCTGGGAAACATCTTTCAGCAATTACATTGTTTGGCTAAAATACAGTAGTTCATTACATATAAACCAACAAGGGATATAAACAGACAAAAACAGATCACAAATCCTAACAAAGTACATTACAATAAAGTTCACTGCCTGTGGTTTGGTCTATTAACTGGTGAAGATAGCAATAACAGTATGAAGCTAGAATGCCAACAGCTGCATCCATAAAATATTACTAATTGAAACATGCTCTATTCATCACTGCTAAAATTGGCAGTGTTTTTTTGTGTTTCCCTAAGGTAAACACAAAAAATGCATGGCTTTGTCACTGAGGACATCTGTAAACAGGACTAAGAAACTACAAGTCATGCTAGCAACTGGCCGTACTTACTGTACTGCTGTATTATGCTCACAGGGCCCTATCAGCAGATATTATGTTTACTATGTTTGTCATCCTAACTTAAGTAGTCATCCCTAGAGCCTGTTGCTAGCATGGCTAAACATTCAGTGAATCCTTTTGTTCAACAGGTATTAGTAGAACACAGACTTTTACTGCATCCTAAGGCCAGTTAGTACTGGTGACATACACATAGAGTAAAGCAAGAATGAGATGGGGTGTGTCATGCTTTGGCATTACTGGACAATGAAAACTACTTCAAGAGATGATTTTTAAGATGTTTTATTGCAAAAATATAGAATTTGATAACACACTACAAAAACATCAACACAAACATAATACATGACAGTCTCAAAGACAAACCAATAGCACATCAATAGCTAAGTATTTTTACTGTGCTTTCAAAGAATCACAAAACAGTTATTCCGTTGTTAAAACCTTATATGTGAGTTACTCATAACATGATCGTCTTTTACCTGGGGAAAACCTAATAACCGCGTACTTGCTCGTGTATGTTGACACTTTGAGTGAAAGCTGCACATTTTTCCCTAAGACCAAATGTGTCACAACCCAACAAATGTACCTATTTTCCACTTCCTGAGAAGTTAACTATACAGTTATGAAGTGGGCGGAGCCATTGTTAGAGAGGTATTTATTCCCCACTGCAAATATGCAGATTTGAAGTTTACTTTTAGCAAAAATCGCAATGTAACTCGACACTCAAACACTGGAGTTTTTGACCCATATACTGGTTGTAAATGTTTCAACTCACAGTGGTTTTTGAGAAACAGTCCTTTTCCCACTATGTGGTTCGTCAGTAGCACAACATACTACATTACCCACACACCTCATTAGCTGTTGCCATGACAAAGATGTCAGCTAGAGATGTGAAATTAGTTTAAGCTTATTCCAAACATCCTTGTGCATTTGACTTTTTATCAGCACAGTTGCTCATTGCATTGAGCTGATGATTCAGCTGAAAGAAATTCCATACTGTCTACTTATTGGAAATGCTCAAACAGCTTGTCAGAAATAGTTACATAGTCTAAGGAAGTCATTAGGGCTGTCACTGCCCAGACATAACCCCGCCCACTTATCTGCTTTATTTCTGAGGTTTTTAAAGACACCAACACTATGTTTTTCATCATTATGAAGTGCCTTCAAACTATTAAGATGCCAGTGCAACCTTTTATGGTTGTCATATCCTCACGCATTTGTGTATGCAAATATGATTTTTTGCTATTAATATCAGGTATTGCTTTTGTACATATGCTAGAATCAAACCTCCTATCTAACGATGTTATTGCCTTTTTTCTTAAAGGAGCCAATTCTGAAAACTCCAATGTGTAGGAATGCAAGAACTTATAAAAATTTGTTGCTGATTCTGTCAAAGGTTTTATGCAACTTAATTTAACACAAAAAATTGGCTCCTGCATAAACACTTCACTGCATGGCTGATGGAGTCCCAGCTGACAGTCATTGTCGAGTAACAACACATCAAAAATCTCAGTCTCTGCTGGTTTGCTGTGCTTTGTTTCTTCCTGCTGAATGAGAATTGCTTAATAAGAGACGGCCAGGATAAAATCATGCCATTGCAAAAGTGCTGAGAATAAATCATTTGAATGAATTAAGATATTTGCGCAGAAAGACTTATCATTAAACTGTATTTTTTATTGTTGCTTGCAATGACAACAAATCAATACCTGTTTTTACACTTTTGTACTTAAAAGTGGTAATGCTAAAATGCCACAAACACACAGACAAAATGTCTGGCCGAAGTTTGTTGACATCAAGGGCTAGTGCTATTGACCTTTGTACAAAATCCTATCATCTGCTCGTTGTCCTATAAGATTTCTGTCAAACCCTGTGCTTACGTTCTGAAGGTGTATCGTTGTGCCGTACACAAGAAAATGGTGCTCTACATCAATGATGCTTTAGTTTTCCATATATATATATAGCTTTGATTTGTTTTTAAAAATATTACCAATGCTTTGTGCTTAACTGTCAAATTGTGGAAGCATTGAGAATATGAAGTGATATAATCAGCATAATGGAACACAGTAATTATAGTAATTACATAGTAAATAATTAAGAAAACTGACACTAAAAAGTCAGTCACCTATAGACATTTTTAGTCAAACAAAAGGGCAACAGATTTCTCATAAAGTGCAAATTAAATTAGTTCCAACATACACATTGTCTGACATTCTTCTTATTGCCTGTAGATATTGTTGGCAAAAAGCAAATACATAGAAAGTTGGGGCACAATTGGGGTATAGCATTTTGGCAGGGGGAGGAAATAATGGTGCTTGAAAGATGAGAGGCACTTATAAGGGTGTACTATTCACCAATTGTTCATGCCCCAGGCATAGGCTTTAAGTTGAAAATTAAGTTGAAAAGGGTGGTTGTAAAAAGCCAATACCATGAAATTTGGACAGGATCAAAACACTGTGAAACTTCATCATATGCCTATGGTATTCATCATGAAGAAGTTTTAATTGAATACATGCTGGATGGTGAATTAAAAGCACCCAGCATGATAACTTTCACTGTACATGCCTTATATTGTCTATATAAAAGGTGCACCATATCACTGATGCATTCCCCCGCTAAATTAAAGATCTGCATAGCCACAATAGTCTACATACAGTATATATGTTTCAGTGCCAAAGAGTTGTTTGTATTTTTGAAGACATAAATAAGACCTACTTGAATAAAAAATGTACACTGTGGCTTAAAAAAGGTACAAAACCACACATTTACTGTCGCAAAATAGCTACTGTTCCCCACCATTAAAACTACCATATAGTATATTAACGTACAAGCTCCACAATGATAAATGTAGACTAAAGAGACTATGCAGATGTTTATCTTTCAAGTGAACTTTCACTCTGGTAGAACATTTCAACTTTTAAATACACGTTCGCATAACACTTGTGACCGCTGCCCACTCACATTCTTTCATGAAACCAGTCAAGAAGGATGATCTTGAACTTGACAGCAGGTAAAAGCTTAAAAGCCATGAGTGAGGTGGATTTTTACCACCAAAGAAGTCTTTTACTTTGACTCCTCTTGAACTCAGAGGGAAGTCAGAGTGTTTTAAAGCGAAACATGTTTTCTAACAAAGTGAAATACCCCTTTAAAACCTTACATTCTTCTTTTGTGCTTTTCTATGCTTTTCATACAGTCAAGTGATACCACCTCTTATAAAACTAGCTTTACAATCTCATTTTGTTTCCACTCTTATGCCACAGCACTAGCAGTACACTGTGTTTAACCAAGAAAAATATTAGCATGTCATCTGCAAAGAGGATATATATACTGTCATAACTCAGTTCCTGCTTCAGTGAACACAACGGTGAAACGGTCAAGTTTTAGCAATAAAGCACTGAGTAGCAATGTATAACAGAGCATACCAAAGAAGTAAAACAAGGGCTTGATCATTGACATCATTGTATATCTACCTACATACTAGAAGTTCACATATTAATCTTTGTGCATACTTCTCCATCTTTTAGAGACAACAGAGTTTTTATTGTTGTCTCATTTAGGGCCGCTGAAAATATTTCTAGGTCTTGCATCAAAACTTGAAATGAAACACAATCACCAACAACATAACATGAATATCTGATAATTCTGCATACCCTTTAGGGCACCCTTATGTGAGGACAGATGTGCTGGTTGCCCCCACCTGACATTGGCCCAGGTCTACGTAGCAGGAATGCTGATTTAGAATATTTGTCACTATTTACTAATGTGTACTACTCTGAGATGCTTGATCAATACCAACTTGTCCACATGATGGTAGACAGTAGAACAAAGCTCCCTGCTTTAAATATATAATACATTATATACATGAAAGACATGTAGGCAGAGCTGCTCAGTAGTCCAAGAGAGAGTATTATGATGAAACACAAACTGTCTACATAATTTTTGCTCATTTTTTTTAAACAAGTATAAATAAATAAATGATTATCAAGTTGATCAATATTGCCTCCTTATTTTCAGCAGTCCTGTAAGAGTGAGGTTTATTGTGGTGTGGCAGACGTGTGGTGTAGACTGGTGGACTGAACAGATTGCTGAGGGTTTTCTGCAGTACCTGAAGGTTGTTGGTTCTAAGTGAAGGCTCCATGAAAATCTGAGTGTACTCTTGAGTGAAGGCTGCATCGGGATTCTAGTAGAAATTCCATTACAAGATCAGTAAACAGTCCCACTAGGATCTGGGAGATCCTTTCCAGGAGTATCTAAATGGCAGTTCCATTTTTACACAAACAACTGTTCCATCAGGTTCGACTGAATTTCCATGAATGATATTTCCACTGGACTGAATGTTCGAGCTAAATCCTACTGGAAGTGCCTTTGAACATGATGTGACATTTCCTGTGTGACTTCCATTTGAATGTCCGACGTAGAAACTGCATGAGGGTTCATCAGAATATGGGTGAAGAATCTATTTGTGTCTGATCAAAAGTTCCAGTAAATAGTCCTGATAGACTCTGATTGAAGCTGTGTTACTGATTTGCATGTGCGATGTTGTCGCTAGAACCTAGGCGAAGGTTACAGGGAAACTGAAAGTTCCACTAAAACATGTATGTATCCACTATATGAAGCAACTCTCAATTAGAATCTGGATGGTTTAGGACTTGAGCTCAATTCTGTAGGAACCAATCAAGATCTCAGTGGAGATTCCTGCAGATTTTCAAAGCAAACATGATGGAAAGCTGAATCTCTTACACAATCTGCAGCTTCATTGAGAGGCTGGTTTTAAGGACAAGAATGGTTCTATTTCCACATTCTATCCCTACTTGACAGCATTTATATATCAAACATAACAGGTTGATGCTGCAACTGAGCGCTGTGTTCTATGTAATAGTGTAGTGCTATACATTCAGCCAGAATAACAGATATAGAGAGTATCCTAATGCCTAAAGCCTTGTAACTTTTCACACTTTTCTTTTGTAGGTTCAATAAGACCTTAATAAGAAGAACTCTTCTGGAAAAGCGAGACCCAGAAGGTTTCCTTGTCACTGACTGCTGTATTTTAAAATTCAGCCTCTCTAAACAATGACTCTTGCAACATGTACTCCTGTCTTGAATTGCTTTGGATGATGATGAAGTATATGATGTCGAATGCGAGTTTGGACCGTGAGCAGTACAGCTGGATTACAATGGCAGTAGTGTCACTTGAGGACTTGCCAAACGGTCATCAACTAAATCCAAAGCACATCAGCATGGCATAGCAAAGACTAAAATGAATGAAGACTTTGCTCTTGGTCCATAATTACATGTTTACCCTGCCTGAGAATGCCGTTCAATTCAATTAATTATCATGGAACTGTAATTCCAGAGAAAATTGCAAGAGAAAAAAGTCAGTACTGTTCAGATCCACTGGGTTCAGATCACCTGAGACAGGCTGAAGAAGTTCAGTTTGAGCCCACTGCATGAAACTCCCATAATTGTGATACAGCCAAAAAAAAGTGCTGGTTGCTCTCAGAGCCAGATCTGCAGTCGATGTTTCATTTTGATCTGAGAGAATCCAAACAGTGCACAGAGATATCAGAATCCCCAAGATTCACAGAAATGGAATAAATAGAATGAAAAGTCTTCACTTGAGTCCAGTTCAGTTAAGCTCACCATCATATTCCCTTCATGTAGCAACACTCAGTTGAGTTCAGTTTGGTTTTAGTGCTGCAATGTCAAATTGCCCCAATGACACCACAAGCAAACTGCACACACAAAGAACCACAAAAATGTGGGCCCCCCAGTTTAGATCCATAAACACTGGGTTTCCTTGTCCATAGAAAGTGCTTAGCCGCTCTAGGTCCAACAGCAAATCCGAGTCTTTTCGTCACATACTAGGTCCATATATTGTGTGTATGTTTATATGTGTGTATGTGTGTGTGTGCGTGTGCCTGTACATATGCATTAGATGTTTATAGTAGAGTTGGTGTTGTTCATATGGACTCTCATCTCCTGAATGCTAGTGATGATTTTTTTCTGATGTCCAGCCAGGTTTACTCCTACTCTTCGCAAATCCCTGAAAAACAACACACAAAGAACAGGCCCTTATTTATCCAGGAGTCTAACAAATAAAGACATTTATGAAGCAAGTGATTGACTTGCTGTCTGTACTGTAATTGTTTGCCATTTACGTTTTATTTTGCCTTTTTTTTTATGCCATTTTTATTGCAGCACAGTGTTGTTGGAAGTAAGAGAATCAATATACTATCCTCACAAAGCTCAGCTCTTATACAGTAGATACCCTGATTAAAGCAATTCAAAAAATAATTTATAATGTTATTGTTATAATACTGATATAGTTGTTTCTGGAAGGTCCTTGGGTTATACATTCATAGGTCATACTGACTTTCCTGTGGCCATCTCTACCTTCATAGAAGCTTTCACTTATCTAAAGGGTGCTGGCTTTTTGGAACTTTTTCACAGGCTTGCAACCTTGTAATAGATCCTGCTTTCTCATTTTGCTTTGACCTTCACAGCATTTTGTGACAATGTTCATGGCTTCTCTAACTAGAAAAAACCTGTAATAATTAAAAAATTAGTTCAGTTTTGTATGTGCTGCAGGTTTCATTAGGGGTTTTATTAAAACTGCATTGCACATTTGAGTCTGAATCATGTCATTTTACAAAATTTTCAACTTAAAAGAGTCAGTCTACCCCAGATTTTACTGAAGAAATAGTCCCTAAAAATGTATTTTTTAAATATAATCTTGCACTGCTAAGATCTGCAAATAACTTTGCAATAGGGTGGCAGCAGAAATCCCAGAGACAGATATCTTTACAACTGAGTGAATAAGCTGCATGGCTGGATGTCCTAGCACATGTTTATGTTTATGTGTAGGCAAGTGGTCTTACTCTGATGTCATCTGAGCCACCGTCTCCAGTGAAGAGTAACCTCCTTCCATAAAAAGCTCAGTGTAACGACCCATCTTGATGGAGTCGAGCCACTCCCCTACGGTCTGGCTCCGAGTGCTGCAGCCCCCTTCTACACTGGCATGCTCCACTAACAGGTTTGAAACCCTAGTAAATAGTTGAAGATACAGTAAAAGATAGAGTAAGACAGTAATCAAATGAAAGAACAAGATTATGCATGTACCATTTCAGACAGTATCCATTGTCAGGATATAGCAGAAGTAAATAAAAAAATGTTATCAGCACCAGTCCTGTTTCAAATCATTATCATAAATATTAAGGTGTGGGATTCACTGTGCAATCAACTATATTCTGAAGCTCAAGTCCTGACAGTTACTATTGAGTATATACTCTGACTGTCATTCAGATCACTCTTCACGCTAATAAATAGAGCTTTCCATGCTATCAAACAGAATTGTTCATGCTACAAAACAATATTCTCCACACTGTAGGAAGAACAGGAGTGTCCTGTGGATCAAGGACTAGCCCTGTTGGTGTCCCTTTAATCTGGCTAACAGTCATATGATATAGCCAGGGCTGTTAGATTGGCAATCATGAAATTGATTCATTTATAGCTGTTTTCCTGTGTGTGTTTACGAGTGCGTACATGGAAAGGATAAAGGAGGACAAAACACCTCAGATTATTTCATTATGTCTGCAAAGACAGTAAGGTAATGAGGTTGTCTGACTAAATGTCTGCTTCAGAGCACTTATAGCCATTTCATGCCATTATACGCTAATGCAATGCATACACATAGTGGGGAAATACTAATTGAATGTTCAAATGTTGCGATAATCAAAAGATGCCCCACTGAATACAATTCACACTAATGCAAAGTTTTAAGAAAATCAAGCTATTTTAATTTATTTCTCTCCTCGTCTTTGTCGGCATGCAGCAGTTAGTGACTGCGTCCATCCTCATTTAATTATGCAGCTACACAAGACTTCAATAGAGACTCTATTTACATTTCATCCAAACAATGATGAGTCTTTTAGCTTGCAGCGCGGGATTTAATTCACTTATGAATGAATAGGTCAATTAAAACACAATGCATTTTCAAGATTAAAAAAGTGTTTTACTAGAATTTACTATAACAAATAAAAAAAGGCTAAAATGTAAAGATATTCATATCTCACTCATATATCATGCAGGTGTAACAGTTGACATAGTTTTTTTTAAATCAGTAGGTTTTAAAAAAAAAAGAACTTTTTTTTAAAAAATAAAACCATGTAATTTATCTTCTAAATAAAACAATGACAATGACAAACCATAGCCACATATATCTGAACAATTGTTGTCATTTCAAAGAAAATATATCATATTCCAAATATATATGTTGTGAATTCATACCTGTGAGAGGAATTGACCAGTTTTTTTAATGAGCTAGGGTTGCGAATGAGTTTGTCTAGTAGGCAGACAATCTCATCAAACTTGGGCCGGTTGCTGCGTTCTCGTTGCCAGCAGTCCATCATAAGGTGGTACAGAGCCTCAGGACAGTCCATAGGACCGGGCAACCTGTAGCTCTCCTCTACTGCCTTTATTACCTGCAGACAGACAGTGGGTTGGGGAGACACAGATAGAGGTTTGTTTTTTAAAAAGCCATGAAGTTGTACAATACATCAGTACAGAGATTCTGGAGGTTGGGAACAGAAATGGGATGGAGTGAAAGAGAGAGAGAATAACACCCAATGTACACTGGCTGAACAAAAGGTTTAAGGTTAGCAGAGTGGAGACCAGCAGAACAGAGAAACCCCCTCCGCCATGTAAGTCTCAGTCCTCCCCTCTGATCACTTCAACTTCAACAAATTTTTCTTTGCAGCCAGTTAAAAACAGACTTGAACATAAACCCAAAATAAAATACACAACACATAAAACTTAAATACAAATAAATGCAAAACATATATTAAATGTATATGCTACAGAAGCTCACATAAAATAATGTATATCAGAGACCACCACCAGTTGCCAATTTCTAAAGAATAAGATAATATTTTTTTGATCTGTCACATGGGAAATCCTTGGTACAACACACAAATAGATGCATAAATGCAAGATATAATATAAATAGAAAATAGACGCATGTACACTATACTCATTTTTGTACACTGATTGATTGCACAGTACAGGTATAATATAATATAAACAATGTGTATAATAAGGAATTATAAATATAACCCCATATATGGATGATTGATCATCAGCTGACTTATCCTGAGCTTTTAACAGTGTGATGGATTGGGGGCAAAACAATTTCTCACCCTCTTAGACATGGCCTTTGGTAAGCCATGATGCCACTGAATCTTGATTAATGTTTAAAATACAATGATCAAGTTTGCTCAAGAGATTTTGTGACACAGTTTCATCTGAGCAGTGAGCAACTCTGACCGATCTGCTGATTGTGTGTACTTTGAGACAAAGTAATGAGGTAATATGATGATGCAACATAAACCCCACAAGATTGGGAATCTGTTCCATCACTTTTATAACCTTTACAGAGATAGATAGCAACAGTGAAAAACACAGACATAGTCTGAAGAAGATGATGAATCATTTCCAACTTGTTTGACGCCTCAACGTGTAATATCTCTTTCACAGCAGGACCTCAACAAACTTCAGCCAAAGTAATTTTACTTCCAGTCTGAGCAAGATCCCAAATCCAGATATTTCCTCCAGGGACGCTCATGCACTCTGACTCTACACTCAAACCTCCATGAAGTTAGCAGGCAAAAACGAACCCCCTGCGAGGATCAACATTGTTTATTTGACACGCTACATAGCCCAGTTAATCATTTCCGCAAGTAAAAAAGATGCAGCACTGAATCAGAGATTTTTTTTTCTGGGGGG